TATGGCTGCAGCGCTCAGACCTCTGCCTTCTCAGCACTGCCCTGCCAGAAATAAGCCAGAAATGAGCCATTCCTCAGCACCTGGTGGCCATTGGGGACACAGAGCAGCCCCAGCTCTGAGCCATCTCTGGAGGTATTTCATCCCTAAAGCACACGGCTGGATGGCTGAGCAGCTCCTCGGGAAGGGGAGCAGTGTCTGTTGATGCTCTCACACACACACACTGCAGATACGTGTGCCCCAAGCCCTGCTTTGCTCACACAGTGTGACAATTTGCTGCTTGCACCCCACAGCCTCCAGTCACCATCAGAGGACAAAGGTCCCAAACAACCCATGCACTCCAAAGCCCCGTTCTTTCTTGTATTACTGAATTCCACACGAGCTTTGCCAACGTTTCAAATAGGATCAGAGTCATGCTGGGCCAGCTTTAGAAACCTGTGGCATCCAGGCTGGATGCCAGATCCCAAAACCCAAATACCGTGCAGGAATCAATGCAGGGAGGGACCCACAAGGCTTCCTGCGCCCCACACAGTGATCCCACTGCCCCACATAGGGGATCCACACCCATTCACAGAGCAAGAACGTCTGCTCCCATGTCATGGTCCTAAAGGATGGGTTGGGGTTGGACTTGGGGATCACAGTCATCTTCTCCAATGCGAATGATTCCATGGTGTATGATCTTCCCTCTCTGTTTTTTTTCCCCGTTACCAGCTGCTGTCTGGACTGGCATTTCCAAAGTCTCCTTCTCAGACAGCTCCATCTCCATTCCATTTCTTTGAACACAACAGTTGCAGCCTGCAGGGCAGGTTCCCTGCTCCAGCCTTCCAGCCTGGGGGGCTGTGCAGTTCTCTTTGCACACAGACAAGGGAACATCCAGGGTTCAGCTCCCCCCCAAGCTGCACAGCTGGAGATCAGGGCACCTCTGTGCCAAAGGCAGGCAGGAGGTTCCTTCCCAGATGCTACTGGCACCCAGCATCACTTCCTTCATCTCTGTTACCCACATGTACATACCAACATGTAACACTGCCTCGTAGGATGTTCTATCAGTGCAAAATGTCCCCAGATTGTGAACTGTTTGAAGAGCAGCACAGAGTGAAGCAATCCAGGGAAGGTCCCCCCCCCAGCACAAGGATCTGCTTTCAGGCAGTTCAACGAATCTCTTCTAATACGCAAGATGAAAATGGAGATGCAGAAGAATAAAGCAGGGCTGTGGTTCCCTGCTGGCCAGCAACAAGCAGCTCCCATTGGTGCTGCAGTGGAATGGGACCACAATGCTGGACAAAAGCTGGATGCATCACCTTGGTACAAGCGAGCCCAAGGCCTTCTGCTGAAGCCAAGCCATGAGGCTTGTTATGGCTTGGAAGAAAAGTGAGACTTTGCTGCTTCAGGAGAAAGCTGGGGCTGCATGCTGGGAGCTCCTTGGGGACAGGGGTATCAATCTTAATAAAGCCACGGCATGGCAGATAAATCATAATAAGGAATAACAATATATAATAAGGATGAATAATATTAAAGAGGATCGTGGGAGAGAGAGAGCCTGCATGCCTGCAAACACAGCAGCACCAACACAGAGGTGCAGAGAAAAGAAGGCTCTTACTGTATTTCAGAGGGAACACATTAGCCACAAGCAAACAGTGCAAGGGAGGGACTGCTCAGCCCACTGAGCGTGTGTTGAAAAGGCAGATAAGCCCAGCATCAAGATCCAAGAAAAAATATATTTATCATTGTTATTAACAATAATAGAAATAAAACCAGCTTTAATAGCAGGCTGGGTTTGATGCATTCCCCAAATAGGAGGATTTATTAGTTTAAAGCCCGTGTGTTTATTTGTTTTCCTCTCTTTCCACTCCTGCCCCTCTTCCAACCCTCTTGAATTTTTAATGCACCATTTCTAATGTCAGACGTTTTTCTTGTAAAGGTTTTTCTGACATAACTTTATATCGCTACATCCTTCTGCTGTTGCCATTCCCCATCCTTGTTAGAGCCTCCACTCCCCTAATGAAGTTCATCTCCTGCCTGGATAGTAAAATCAAATGGATACAGGGCTGGAGAAGCCACAGTGAGGTGTGTGCATGTTTGTGTGCTCAGGAGTGCAGGGACACCCAAGCAGGGCAGCACCAACCTGCTCTCCTGCAGCCCTGCCATGTCCCTGCATGGCTCTGTGTGTGTGCATGCTTTGCACAGATGTCATTTCATAGTCCTGTGCTGACGGTGCAACTGGAAGGAGATGGGAAGATGCACGCTGCAGGAGCCAGGAGTTTGAGATTTCCCATTCAGCAAAGCACCAGGATGCACAGAAGCCCAGTGGTTCTTAGCACCTTCATTTCAGGGATGCCCTGATAGAGTTTTGCAGTGATAACCAATGGGCAAGAGCCCCCCTGCCCCTCTGTGCCTCCCAGCTTTAGCAAAGAGGAGAACATCCAACCTCCACCATCTTCCTTTTGTTTCCATCCATGGAGAGTTATATATCTGACATTTCTACAACTTCTGCTATTCTTCCAGCTGCTGATAAAGCTCCTTGATAACCACATGCAATGGAGCTGGGTCTCCTGCTGCCACTGGGATACACAGCTTTCAAACATTAACACCACGTGCATTTGTGATTCCAGCACTGCCCTGGACCTTTAAACCCCAAAAATCTCCACCTGGTCCTTCTTGACAGACAGACTCTAAAATTCAACACCCAGCGCCGTTCTGTCTCCGTTTGGCTGGCATTGAAGCACACTTTACACTGCAATCTTAATTGAAATTTCAGGTAGAAATAAATGTAGCCACCTCTCGTTCCTTAATGGATCCTGAGCTGCTTCCTCACTCTGTGACCATTCCTGGCACGACAAGCAGTATCTGTTTTAAACAAGGCCATAATTATGAAGTCTGTGGGTAAATGCAGGGCAGGACAGCGACGCGATGCCATCCTTACCTGACCAGAAAAGCTGGAGCAGCAGGGGCTGAGCAGGCAGGGAAATGCACGTTGCAATGCAAGAACTGCTCTTTTCATTCCCTGCTGCCCTTCTACTGTGGATGCTGCTCAGAATGTCCGTCCCTAGCACAGGACAAGGGGTGCCATCAATCCCTGCGTGCCCTGAGGCCATCATTATGTGCTTCTGTGGAGCCAGCAAGCTCCAGCCTTCTTCCAGGAGAAGGCAAACAGTTTGTTGGATCTGTCTTGAGTTTAAAACATGCAGCTCCTCTTGGTAGAACTGCACATTTGCTGTCTTTCTGGACCACAGCTAACGTGCAATGAAGTAATTCTGAAGCAGCTCACAGTGACAGCTGCCCGTGGTGTCTCACACATGGCAAGGTGTGTACGTGAGCTTGCTCTTGGGAAGCCTTCAACCATAAAAGACCTGCTGAGACCTCCTCCCAATCCAAATGAATATGCCTGTCCCAAGGCAAGTACTGATCAAGGAGAAGAGAGTCCTGAAAACCGCAGTGAAATTAAGACAAAGCTATTGGTTTTGCACTGACAGACCCCTGCAATGGGTGGCATATGAAGGCAAGAAGGGAAAGAATAGGGCCTTCATGAGGATGGGTGGATCACAGAAGAGGAAGGAGCGACACAACCAAGAGCTTTGGAGGGAAGATGGTATTTTCCCCTGAGCAGACAATGAGACCAGCAGTGTTCTGCTCTAAGGAAAACAATGGACACAACAGCAAAGCAACAGCTGCACTGTCTGCAGACCAATTATTTAAATGATGGAAATGCATGTAATTTTTTGAGGGGAGAGTACCTTTTTTTATCCAGTGGGCATCCATCAGGAGGGCAAAAGCCAGCCCTGCTGCACAGATCCCATTCCCTGAGATGCTACAGACACCCAGCAGGTTCCCAGCTGCTGCAGGGCACATCCCAGCCATCTCTGCTTTGAATGCTTAGGAGGTGCAGGCTGTGCTGTGTTAATATGCATAGTGTGCCTGCCTTCCCAATTAAATGGGAAATGCTATGGTTAAAACCAGTCAGAAGATATTAGATGGAACTGTGGGTTTTACTTCCTACGCGCTGCAGCCCCATAGGAGTGCAGATGGAGTACATGCCAGGGAGATTACCAAAGGTGAAACAGAGCTGGGAATGGAAAAATGCTTCATAAGAAGGGGGAAAAAATGAGGTAGGGCTGCATTAACACAGAACCTCATCCTGGTCTCTCTGGACCACACATCTCTGGGAGGACACCATGCACTGCTGCTCCTAGAAGCCAAATTTTGGTGCATCACTTGGAGGGGAGAACACTACAGAAGTGGAACAAAGCATAGCATGAGGCTCCTGAGCTTCACCCTTAGAGCTGAGTGGGACAGGCCCTTCCTATGCCCCTCTTAGCATCAGTGCTGAGTTCTCCTCTGCCACCCATCTGGGACAGGAACAGAAACCGCAGCGGAGCAGCGCAGCACGCCGGATCATTACAGTGAAACCCATGAAGATGAGAAGACAAAGCAAGAAATGTTACTAACTGATTGGAGAGACCCCTCTGCCTTGCTGGGAAGGGCTCTCCCAATCACCTGCATGGCTCTAACCCCCCTGGCTGTGCTCTGCAGCTCAGCCCCAGGCCATGCAGCCTCGCTCTTGCTGTGCCTGCGAGCACTGCTGCTCCCTGTGCCCGTGTTTCATGACGTGCATTTAATTAACAGTGATGGCGAAGTCAGGTGTATTTATGGGGACTTCTCATCCTCACACTTACAGCTGCAGTTGCTATGGGTTTCCTACCGGAGTTTGCGCTTTCCTCCCCACCCCCACCACGTAACGTGCACCAGAATAAAGTCTAATAAATTCTGCTGTGTAATTGGCTGTATATTTTAGGAGTCCATCCATCCCCGTGCTGTGAAAACAGAGGCCCTCAAAAATACACGGCGAGGACAGAAAGCTCTCAATGGGGGGGGGAGAGGAGTCCAAAGCTGTCTGCTGATCTGACAGCACTCAGGAGGATAACAGGGATGGAGCAGTAACAGCACTTGGTGCATGGCAGCATTCCCTCCTGCCAGCTGTTTGCATGGTTCTGCACGAGCATCCTCACCTGGTGTCAGTGTGGGGAAGTCTCCCTGCATGGCCAGATTGACACGGAGCTGAAGAAAGGTCATCAATTGCCTCCAGGGCAAAGAATCCAAACAGAATGCTGTAAAACAAGGAGGGGGGCAGGAATGAGACAGCTTTCCTATGGGCTGCTCGTCCGAGTCAAAGGAGAAAAAGCAAAAAGGATGGAAACACCAGAAAACACACAGCATTGCACCCAGAATTGCATGTCTGAAAAACACCACCCAAACGCTTCTATTTTTCAGTCATGTCTCCCCATTTCAGCCCTCCATTCACAATTTTCCACATTCCATGTTCACTTCCAACCTTAATGTCATTTAAACACCACCTTTTTTTTACCGTTTTCCTCTCCTGCAGGCTTCTGATTCCCCCTGCTGCTTCAGCTCTCCAAAAAGCTGCCCTACCTCCACCATGGGAATAAAACACCCACCTGGCAGCAGACAGCTTTATTCTGTTGATCACAAGTCTGCCAGCCCCGTTTATGACTGGACGTGAGATCTCCAAATCTGGATTTATGCGTGGCAGCAGAGCGGCGGGTCAATGAGATTACAAGTATGTTCACCAGAGAGCTGTGAGGCAATTGGAGACGCATGGTTCCGTGGTGATTGGGAGTTCAGTACGAGACAACCAGCAGTAATGAAACCCTGACAGTCCCTGAAAACATTATTCATTACTGCAGCCCTCAGCAACACCCCCTCAACCAAAAGGAGGAGATGCCCCCCCTCCTCCCTATTCAGATGAAGCCATCTGGGAGATAATGCTGTTGATAACGGACTGAGTTAACAATAGGAGCACTTCTTTAGCATATTTTTCACTCAAAGAGTGGTGAGGCACTGGCACAGGTTGCCCAAGGAGGCTGTGGATGCTCCATCTCTGCAGGCATTCAAGGCCAGGCTGGATGTGGCTCTGGGCAGCCTGGGCTGCTGGTTGGTGACCTGCACACAGCAGGGGGTTGGAACTGGATGAGCACTGTGCTCCTTTTCAACCCAGGCCATTCTATGATATGCTTCACACAATGAAAATGGGGCTCCTGGACAAAGCTTCACCCCTCACACCTCCAGCACAGGGCTCAGTGAGCCCAGCCAGGTCATGCAGACTGAGCCACAGCAAACTCTAGGGTAGTTTGGTTAGGTTACGGTTGGACTTGATGATTTTTAAGGTCTTTTCCAACCTGAGCTATTCTATGATTCTAAACCCCACGTCATCCTCTTCCCTCTTTCAGGGACTTCATTTTCCATCCGTGCCCCTCTTCTTCATTATCATCACCTAGAGATTTGAACTCAACACCACAGGATGCAACCGTGCTGGTGGGGAAGAGACCCCAAACCTCACAGCCACGTGGGCTTCATCTGAATAAACCAGATTCTCACCTCATACCATGCAAGCAGGGGCTCCCCTGGCCCAGCTATAGGGCTGTGATGCTCCATCCCAGCACACCCTGTACCAGTGCAGAGCACGTGGAGGGCAATGCTTTGGGGTTGGACCGGCTGCAGCACTTAACACAAATAAAAGCAGCAGCAGCAAAGCGCCGGCAGCGCCGCTCTGATTACAGAGCCATTCATTTTCTGGTCGTTAATAATTTGTGCAATAAAAGATTGCGTGCCTTTCTGAGTTAGTAGGAGTTATTGGCACAAATTTCCCTCCGCGCTGGTGTGAGTCTGTGCTTGGAACATAAATTATGAGTTTCTTATCACACTCCTCCTCATTTTTCATGCTGCCATGCTTGGATCGCCAGCAGCCCCTCTGTCTCAGTCCTATTTTATGCAGCGAGAGAAGGCAGAGAGGATGGTTATTCCATCTTTAATTACACAAATCCCTTCTGCATTGCATCCTTCCTAAGCCCCCTCCCCACCTGCACAACGAGGGTGTCCACAGCTGCAGGTGCTCCTCGCTCAGGTGATGCTTCACCCCCTTCCATTTTCCAACTGTTTCCAGGCCAGGGGGTGGAAATGCACGAAGCACTGAGACTCATTTAAAAGCTATGGAAACATCCTTCTAATTTCTCTGATGCTGAAACGCTCGTTAGTGATGCTAATTGTTTTGTTAAACATGGCAGCTCACACATAAACCACACCAACATCCCTGGACCTTTCCATATGTCAGCCTGATGGCTTTCTGCATTCAGAGCATCTCTTTCGGCGGTGTCCCCGGAACGTTTGCACCAACATCTGCTCAACTTCAAAAGAAGTGCTGACAGCCCCAGACGACAGAACATGTCTGGCATCTCCAGCCGTGCTTGCCAAGGGCTGTGCAAACCCCATGCTCCTGCAGATAAGTGCACTGATAAAATCACAGAGTCATTAAGGTTGGAAAAGACCGGCAAGATCACCCAGTCCGACCATGGACTCACCCCCACCGTGCCCACCGATCACATCCCATGCTACAGATACCCACATCTGTGTCCCTGAACACACAGCTCTGGATGCTCAGCCATTCAGACAGAATCACAGAATCGTTAAGGTTGGAAAAGCCCACCTGGTCCAACCACCCACCCATCCCCACCGTGCCAGTCAGGAGCTCTGCCTTCTCTTTGCTGCGCTCATTGATGGAAGAGTGCTTTTCTCTGCAGCACTTCTGCACCCACATCACCTCACCTCATCATTCCCCATCCCCTGATTGCAGCCTCTGCCTCCCAGAGCCTTCCCTGGCTCCACACTGGGAATACCATCCCATGGTGGGGCTGTGCATGCTGGAGTTGTCTATGAGAAGGCCAACAAGCATTGGGGAGCTGCAGGGTGGGGTCACACTGAGTGCTATTCAGCTTCACTGAGCGTTTTCTCCTGCTAAGTCCAAGTGGCCCTACGGTGGCCCGATGGTGCCCATCAATAACAGAGTGATGTGACACACTTAGGGCACCCCTTGTGTACATACATATGCTTTAAGGAAGGTGTGCTGCCCCACTGCAAGAGGATTTATACCAGGGGCCTTGGGCAGGCGTAGCACACGCGTAAGAGTGCACTGTCACTTGGAGAGTGATCCATGGCCCAGTGCTTGGCACGTCTCTGGTGATTATACCACACTGGTGAGCCACTGATCATCTCCAAGTGATGCTTATGTCTGCAGGGTAACATCCAACACGTCCACGCCAGGCTCCAGATGCCCACCCTGCATTCCCTTCCTCCCCAGCACAGCTAGCTGCTGCTAGCCACCAGCACTGCCAGCCACCAGCTGCCATGAGCATATATAAAACTAACAGAAATAGAATGCAAACAGTTGCGTGCTTTCTCACCTCTCCAATCATTCCAAGTTGGGAATACCAGCATCACGGAACAAAGGCTCCAAGTTCCCAGCTGCAGCCTGCGACCTCTGGCACAAAATGGCACTAACAGACACCGAAGATGACCTTTCCATTAGCAAAAGCAATCATTCTGCATTGGGCTCTCCCCCTGCTCTCTCAGATCCCCGTTCTGTTTGCCAGCACCGCTCTTGACTTCTTTTCCTGCTCCCAGCTTGGATTCTCTGGGTTAAAGCTGTGGACCAAACTGACAATCCAGGCTGCAAACCACCCCCCAGAAAGGGAGCTCCTCAGTCACCCTGTTCTCAAGAGGGCAGCTCTCCAAGCCATTCAGGTTGGAAAAGCCCACCAAGTCTGTGCCCACTAAACCACGTCGAAACGATGCCTTTCCCCACATCCCTTTCTCTTTTCCCTGCAGCCAGAGTGCCACTGCTTTATTTCACTGCTGGGAGCCAGGGAATCGCAGCACCCCCAAGTACCAAGAACTGGGCAAAACCAACCCGCTGTTCCCACATTCCTGAACGTATCCCTACTTTAGTTCAATTTCCACATCAGTTTCCTGCACGAGCAGAGCTATCCCTTGTTTTTGCTTCCAGCCCCGTGCATGTTTGCTGCCTTACGATTCCGTGCACAAAGATTCTGAGATAGCAACTTATTACGTTCAGCTCAGCTGTGGAAAAACTGAGGCACGGAGCGTTTGGCACTGCAGAGTCAGGAGCCAGGGAGAGCAGACAGCTCTGCTTCCCTACACAGCAGCCAGACGGCTCTAAAAGGGATGGTGCACGAAGCCTGTAAGCACAGCATAATTAATCTTCTTCCTTACACATCCTACTACGAAATTTTAGTGGTTTTTTGGAAGTGTTTTTCCCATCTCTCCCCACCCCCCGTTTGAGCTTTTCGCCTATCTCCCGAAAAATCTGCCGTTGTGCACGCACGAGCTGTGCTGCACTTAATGAGGCACTTCAGGTTCAATGAGGTCCTTCATCTTTTCAGCTCCAGCTCTCTGCTTCTCCCTTCCAGGCATCTCAGCTGGCTCCTGCACATCCCTGCCGTGGTCCCCCATCTCCTGGGGGTTGCAGCTCAGCGCTGCCCCCCGCCCTGCCCGAGGCGGTGGCAGTGGGGTGAGGACCCCCAGGTGCTGTTCTTGGATCTGTCACTCATTTGCTGTGACCCTGACAGCGAGGCAGGAAAGAGCAATTCTCAGACGTGGGCACCTCATACAATGCTGTGCGCCGGGGATGATAAGCATCCATAGTTCTTATTAAAAAAGAGCAATAATTATGACTGCATCCCAAGCCTCGTACTTCTCTCTTCCCTTCTGCTTTCACATCTCATTAATCCCAACCCCACCTCCCCCCTTACAGCCGAGACTGATGCAAGCTCCATCCATGAGCACAACCTCTGCTCCCCATGCACTGCTGCCCATGAAGCCTTCCCACGTGTGCCCCACAGCTGAGCAGAGCAGCACAGCACCCAACCACCTCCTGCATACCCTTCAGCAAGCAGAACCCACTCCCATTTTCCTCCTTGGGATCCACTTGGACTCTCACTCTCACTGCTGCGGCCAACAAGCGTAACGAATGCGTTAGGTCTGTGTGCTGCTATATGCAAGTATGGGAACGCTGAGTTTTTAGCCAATGGGTCCAGAGAGGTTAAAAACAAAATCATCCTACAGGTCCTTCCCGGAGCCATCAGCCCCTCATACAAGGCTTTCTGATCCTTCCACGCTGTTTGGTACTGCGTGTGTTTGCACAGAGCCAGAACTTTATTATGCCACACATGCACTGCTCTGCATCCCACGGACTGGCTGATCATCCGATCATCTCCGCCACGACATCAAAACGGCC